TGATAAAAAAAAAAAAAAAAAAAAAAAAAAAGAAAGAAGAGAGAAAGAAGAAAAAAAAGGAAGAAAAGATGAAATTAACGTTTTGTTTTCTTACCCATTTTCATCCACACAAATCCTTATACTAAACAATTTAATAAATCCTTATATTAACAATTTATCTATATATAAGTTTCCCTTAAATACAACCACATTTCGCCAATCGCAAGTGTATATTTGCCAATTAATATATTAACATATGATGATGTCATATGTTTCGCTCATTGTTAATATACCCTGTAACAATGAGGTATCTTGTGTAATTATCGAACGACAATGATTGTAGCAATTTATTTTTAGCCCGCTGTGAGATATCTCTTGAAGACTCTGGGATGTCTCATTTGTTGGTGGTTCCATCCGCGTTGCGCGCTACCATAAATTCTCTAACTTCTTCCCACACTTCTAACTCTTTTGTTGGAAAGCTCCTGCCTAAGTATTTGGAGCGTGTTTAGTCTCGTATACACTGAACATAGGATAGGATCTTCTAACAGGGGTTTAGATAGATGGGGGAGAAGAGGCGCAGAAACACAGACGACAAAACCGGGCTAAACTATACGGTGGAGCACAGGCCGCTCTGCTGGTGCAGTTTAAGCTAGCTAGGGCAGGATAATAGATACGGCCAAGTGGTGAGGAGAGTTTGAAGGGGGGCAGCGGGGGAAGGGCTTTGTCAAATAATTAGTTGATCTGAACCGTTTGACTGCTGAAGATCCCTTAGCTCTATTGATTCCCGCATAAACGACGTGCGTTTTCCGGCAATTTAATGATCGTGAATGGCAATTGACGAGTGGTTTTTATACATCGAATGCACCCAAATTTTTTCGACATCTCCCCCCGTGAAGGGAGATGCAACGAGGGAATTTGGTGGTCACTTCAAGATCCTCTTAAGGTAGGTGCTAAGGTAAGTGATGAGGACGTCGCTTGTAATTTATGTTTCGATCTCGTTTCTGGTTGAGAAATCGCCGAATGACGTACATGAGAGTGATGTCGAACGTTCCACGATTCACTGTAGGGTTGATTCCACCATTTCTTTCTGACTTTTTTCGCGCGCGCGTAATTCTTTTCCGAATCGCGACACTTCTGACACGCGTTGTTTCGTGCAGTTTTCAGATATTTAAGAGACATTATTAGAGATGTTATTATTGTGTCACTAAAATGTCACTTTACGTCATTATGTTGGCTTTGGGTTTATACTTCAGAGTGGAATTATTTTTTATCTAGACTTTGAATCAATGTCAAGTTGTTTATGATCACTTTTAGATGCAATATAAGTTAATTTCTAATTTAAAAAAAAATGTTTTATTATTTTTGTGAGATATAGGCAATATATTCTTAAATAATTCTTGAACGAGTACTTCTTCGAGCTACAGAGAACAGCAGTGAGCGACCATTTGTAGCGTCAAGATGAGTCATTAGTTTATAGTGTTACATCTCGAAATTCTTCATTAACCCTTCAAGTTCGACGAAACTTGCAGAGTTAATGTAGAATCAAAATTTCGACTCAGGAAGTTATTAGAAGCCTTTAAGAGCATTACTTTGGACTTACTGTAATGTTAGTTTTAGTTAGCGGACCTTATCGCGCAGAATGGTAAATTATCGAAGCGAGCGACTAAATCGGTTTACTTTATATTTACCGTGAGTAACATTGTGCAGTATACGACTTACTGAAATATCCCGTCGCGTAATCTTATTGAGACATCATTAATTCTCAAATATTCGTATCCGATAAAATCGATCAACATAGCTTCTTTGTACGAAGAAAGATTTTACAAAAAAAGACGGAGCTGATTGGATGCACAATTTTGCATCATGAACTCGTCGAGTTCAAAGAACGCGGTGTTACATCGTATTCTTCTCGCCAAAGTAAGAAATAATCGTTGTCATTAACGCGCATCTATGTATCTTTGTTTTTACATACATCGAAATTAAGATATGTATCGAAACGTGCGAAAAACTATGTACCATCATTTGCAAAATTTGCTTTCGGGTGGAATTTTGACTTATACAAATCTATTTCCGCTCTCGGAGAAATTTGACTCATACGAATCTTATGTACATATAATAAATAGCGCCAACGTGACGTAGAATTTCTCGACATTTCCGAGCTAGCGAGAGAGAGAGATATTACGTTTTTTAAATAATCCATTAATTCCAAATAATAAGTTCTCTTTCTTTTCGTTGAGCGTTTAAATAGTTAGGTTAAACTAGTTTCCCGGTTACCCCGTCATGACCCGGCATTTTCTTTAGAAAAAGTTCAGTGGCGAACTTCACTAATTCCGCGGTGCAAGGATGGCAACGAATGTCATTACGAAGTTATCTTGAGTTACCGAGTGGGGTGCACACGTCTACAGGATGTCGTAAAGGATCGCTGCTCGACAGTGGTTAAACATTTTTTCGCGGTAAACCTACCCTCAGTCGAAAAGTTATACTCAATAAAAGTAAGTAATTATATATCATCGAGGAAAACACGAAAATATTGTGTTGAAATTGTCAATTAAAATCACGGAAAAAAAAGATATTATTACTGCAGTTAATCATAGTTTGCTGAAAACGTATTTGTTGCTGTGACCAAAACTTTTGTTTCTACACTAAGGGAAAAATTATCTTAAAATCAACAAATATTTCTTTGATGGATGCCATTAACATATTTACTTAAATCTAAATTCTCTTTATTTAAATCAAATATTGTTTACCTGATTTAAGTAAACAATATTTTGTTCAAATAAAGAAAATCTAGATTTAAATAAATATGTTAATGTCACCCATCAAAGAAATATTTGTTGATTTTAAGGTAATTTTTCCCTCAGTGTATTACGTCGATTTTACAGCTAAATATATGGCTACTGGTAGTTATATACTTTTAAGTATCCATGTATTACATCGAACTACCACGTACATATTCTTGCTGCAGCAGCTGACACTTTCTTCTCCATGTTACTTTCAACCGGACGAGAAGTGTCGTCGTACGATACAAGAAATATCAGCAACGATAATTTTTTACGACGATTTCCTGCGCGATATTTGACGGTATATCAGTGTCGGCTCTGTCGAAACTGCCGAAAACGCGCACGCATTTTCGCGAGGGCCGCAACCTGGCGCTCTCAACACTTCCCTTTCACGGTGGGGTCTCAGGAAGTAACGTTATTATCGCCGCGCCCTGTATAACTCATGCGCGCGCGCTCGCTTCCTAGCCACCGACTTTCATCACCGAGAGAGACCAAAGTTGCGCGGCATTTACACAGCGAGATGCGTGCGTATGTGTGTGTATCCGTGTGTATACGCGCCCTCGCTGTATAAATGCGCTCGCGAAAGTTGCGAGAGGAGAGTTTAACAACTGAAACAGCCGAGAAGGCAGTGTTGGCTAACTGTTGTTTCAGTAACGCCCGGCTACACGCGAGTTCTTCCATTGGCCCGACAGCGAAGGCGAAGAGTTACAACGACGCCGGAAGTAAAAGTAACGTCTTCCCCTGATTTTGTCGCGCTAACACGACGGCGTCGTAAAGCGACGGCGCAATGTACGCCGCGCCGATTTACGTTTTAATCGCCTGACGGTATCGGGACGGCTTAACGAGCGGCATGGTGGACGAGAGCGAAATTGCTTCCTTCGGTCCCTTCGCGCGTAAGAGGAACTCACCGGGCACACTTGTCGTTATCCAATTCTGCAGGGAATGCAGTTTACGATCGGGTCACGCCGGGGAGAATTTGCTTTTTTTTCCGTGCGAGGCGACGCCCGCGGCACGCCGAGCGGCGTGCGTTTGAGCTTATCAATTTCTCTCCCTATTAGTAACAGCCGAAATAACAATAACGGATACTGCATTACGAGCGCCATCCCGTGTTCTATTATCTTTTCGATCGATTAATTACTTCTTCCGAAACATCGCGCGGCCAGCGAATTAACGTGAAATTGAAAACGGTAGTTCATATACGCAATACGAAAGATAGGACAGAAGGGAGGAGAAGAAAGGATGCATTCACTAAGCTCCAATAAAGCTTCAACATTTATTAGGCCGAAGAGTTCGTTGGTTTTTTTAAACATTCTTATCATATTTAGCCATAATACGATGTTGTGTGATATGTGAAGCTGTC